ACTCCTCATCACCATCCATATGTCTTTCTTAGATTGATTAATTATATATATCAGCAGGCGGATCTATCGACCTTGGGTCCAGTCTAACTTGGGACTTGGTATACACTAGGGTTAAGTGGGTGTCGAGAGATGAATTAGGGGGGATATATGTGCATAACGTATAGGATGCTTACCAGGATGGATGTGGCGCAGCGGGACGACGGCATACGTCCCGGCCTGCTCGCGAGATAGATCGATCGGCGGCGTAGGGGGTGGGCGAACTCGGAAGGAAGGGAGACGACACGGGAGTTGACGGCTTGACCTAGATAGATGAGAAATTTGATAATATATGGCCGCGCAGTTAATTACGTGGTATACGAGTCTGAAGGTATCATTATATGTACGATTTTATTTGGATTTCATATATAACTCTTGAGCTTATACTTCCTTGTTTTATATTACTAGAAAAAATGCACATGCGTTACGACGGGTGAAGGTTATTTTAATCTTATTATTATTATACGGTTTAGTTAAGGTGAAATTCATTGTTGGAATTCACTTGGATATATATTTTTCTAGAAAATCATCAGCTGCAATCAGGAGTCCGATCATATCAAGTTAGCATGCGAGTTTTTTAAAGAGATATCTTATACAACTCCTTCATGTATTTCCAAAAGCGAATGAACTTTAAACCCGACTCAAATACGGATATGTATTTCTAAAATCGAACGAACTTAAAAACCGACTCATACATGAATGACGTACCAAAGTACCGATAAAAACATATTCAAATTTTATAATAGTATAGATAAGTCATTTGATTTTTCTCTTAGTCAACTTTTTTAAATTTGATCAAATTTATAGCAAAATATTGTAATGCCTGGCACCAATCTCGTTGATTAGTACTTAGCTTTCTCGGATGGGACAGTGCCAACGTCATTGACGTCATCATGTTAGACCACGGCACTAATGACGTTGGTGCTGCGAAAAAAAATTAGCAATAGTGCCCGTGCGTTGCAATGGGAAAAACTACATGCCCAAAATATCAGCTCGACCCATTTAGCGCGAGCGCACGGCGAGCGGTGCACGGCCCATCTACCGGCGATGGCCCGCCCGAGGCGAACTAAGCGCGACCCAAAGACTGCATGGCCCAACAATGATGGCGGCCCGACGCGGGGTCGATCTGAGTTGTTCGATTGGTCCTGCGCCGATGAAATCGCTGGCCGGAGGGGGGAGGGGTGCGAAAACCCTAACCCTAATCCCCTTTCTCCCCTACTCTCTCTGATCCAAACTCCGGCAGCACGAGAGAGTGGATGGTGGCGACGGTGCTGACAGCGGTCCGTCGAGGTGGAGCACGCACGCGGCTATGGCTTCACCGGCTGGGAGGCGTGTCCGAGGGTGGCGTCATGCGAAGACATGGCGTCGACGGTCCAACGAAGCGGGCACGCAAGAACCCTAATTCTATCTTATTAAGTTTAATTGAACATGAACATGAGCTAATCTTCACTAAGCATTAAAGATAAGAAGCTAAACAGATTAGATTAAACTTATTTGACTCGAAATTGTTCACGTCGAACAAAGATTGGCACTGATGGCTTCTAATCACAGGGATGATGTGAATAAGGAATTGAGTAGGCTAAATTTAAGCTCTAATACCACAATGTTGGAGTTTTATTTCAAGATTTTGTTGTTTTAGCCTATAAACAATCACCTTCCATTGAAGCCGATGTCTGGTTTAGAAAAAATTTCATTTACAGGCTAATATATTTTTTATCAACTTTATTTCTTAACTTTCGGCCCAGGTCTTTTGAAGCCGTCCAGTCTTCGTGCGAGCCGAGTCAGTTCGACGGCCCGCAAGCCGAGCAGCCGAGCGCGGCCCACATATGCGGCAACGACCCGATGCACTTCTGTGGCCCATTGGGCTGAGTAATTAGCGGCGGCCTGACGCGGGGTGAATCTAAGCCGTCCGATCTGATAGACGGCCCCGATCGTCCTCGTGTCGGATGAAGCGCCGAGAGGGGCAAAACCCTAGCTCCCAGATCCTTCTCTCCCGATCCCCTTCCTCTCCGGCGATGAGCAAGCGGAACGACGGCAAAGGCGGTCCAGCGAGCTGGTGGCGCGTGCGGTGACGACCATCGAGCGGCTCCTGCTTCGCCAGCCGGGGGGCACACCCGAGGGCGGCGCCAAGCCGTGCCATGACATTAGCGGTCCGCGGGCGTGCAAACGGCGCCGAGCGGCCCGGACCTCGTCGCCGGGGGAGGGGAGGGGGGCACGCCAAGCTGTCGGTGGAGGGGTGCTCCAGGATAGCGCGCGCATGGCGAATGCGACGTGACTGGCATGCAGCCATGCCATGGAGCAAAGAACAGCGCCGCATACGCACATCTGCCTCATACTCTCATCATCTTCTCCATGTGGCGCGGACGTAGCGTCGTAGCGAGAGGAGTGGTACACCGTCGGCAGCTGCGGCATCGTGTACTACTTCTTGCACGCGAGCACGCTTCTGGTGGCCACGCGTCGACGGCGAACATCCACGAGTTCCGCGAGGTGATCTGGAAGAACACCAACCACGCCGGATTCCTTGGGGTGACCGAGCGCGAGCACCAGAACGCGCCGCGGCATCATGGATTCATGGTCTTCCGGTATATATGTGTCATGTGGTCCCAGATCTGGTTGATGCGCACCCCGTGGGCGTGGCGGATCGACCAAATCAACTTCTCCCCCGCGTCAGAACTGCAGCGTCCACATGCTGATCATGATCATCGATGGCGCGCCGGCGGCGTCGTCGTGGATCTGCACGAACGTCAGCTCACCGTCGCTCACGTTCACGCACCGGTACTTGGCTTGGGGGGTTCGCATCGCTGGAGTACGCGGTAGCTTGCATCCCTCAGGGAGCGGCACGAAGCGCATGTCAGGCTGGAGCTCGGCCACCAAACGGATCCGGTGTTTGCCATCCGCTGCAGTCCTGGGGATCATGCCGACGTTCCCGGCGCAGAGGAGCCGGTAGTCGTCGGAGCAGGGCGGGTAGAGGAAGGCCGTGCGGAGCCAAGCGTCGCAGAGGATGTAGCCGCCATCGTTGGCGCAGCTCGGTGCAGGGTCGAAGCCGAGCGCGACGCCGCCGGGGCCGAAATCGTGGGCGCTGCGGAGCAGGAGTCGGCCGGCGGAGACGCGGAGTCGACGGAGACGACAAGGGGTGATCGTCGCGGTCGAGGCAGAAGTCCTGAGGCGCGGGGGAGACAGAGATCTAAAGGAGGGAGGCGCCCGCCGCCCGGCGGATCGCGCCACTCGAAGGCGGGCGAGGTGGTCGCCGGCCTAGAAGTTGAAGTCGTCGTCGGAAGAGGACACGCTCGGGACGCATGCCAGGATCACCCACGTGGTCGCCGGCGGCGGCGGCGGCAAGGACGAGGAGAGAAACGTACCCACAGGGTCCTCGCGGTCACCGATCGTACATAGAGGATCAAACGAGTTGGCATCGCCTTGCTTGAAATTGATCTCCGGAACAGCGAGGGTGGCCATGCTCGTTCACCGCCGGCAACGCGTGTGCATATTAGTCCATGGCGGCGGCGGCGGCGGCGGCGGTGGAGCGGGTGGCGAACTGGCGACGTGCAGTGCGGGCGAGGCGAATTGGAAATGGTGCGCTGCGCTCCCATCTCAATTTGCCGGCTTATGTAGAGGGAGAAAAGGAGGAGCTACTAGTCGTGTACTCGTGTCTTGTGCTTGTCTTGCAGGACAAGCTGGTTAATTAGTTAGTTAGGCTTATCCAATTCTAATCTCTCAGTTTGTGCAGTGCCTCCTCGTGTCATTCGATCTCTAACTTGGGCTCTTCATCGCGTTGATGGCCTCATGGGCTCCTTATAAGGCCGATGCTAATCGCCCATAAGATGGAATAAGTTCATTGTGAGCTCTCTTAACTTGACAACGAATTCGAGTTCCATCCTACTAAAAAACCAGATACAACATATCTTTAAAATGTCAAAACAGGTACAACATAGGTCCTTACACAGTATAGTGGGTGGTTTTATCCGACATGGTAGTTTGAATCGGGTCAGCGCCGCTTAGTCAACGTGATAAATCAATTAAGTTCACTCTCTCCCTTCTCTTTTCATCTCTCTCCACGTGTCCACTTTGATAGCTGGCAACGAGCGCTCGTTCTAGCGGGAGAGGCGACTGGCGACGAGTGACTATTCCGGTGAGAGAGGCTCGCGGCGGTCGGCAGGAGAGGTCGGTGGGAGAGGTGTGCGGCGAGTAGGGGCTTGACGATGGCGGGTGGCAGGAGAGTTGTGTAGCCGACCAGTGGGGAGAAGGGAGAAGGGTGGCAGCTGGAGAGGGAGGCTCACGGTAGCCCATTCCTCTTATCCTCGCGGGAAGCTAGGGACCCGTTATATGGTTGAAGGACGTAAGTCGAACTCGCAGTCAAGTTAAGGGACCTGAAATGAACTGAATCCCCTATAAGAATTCCCCAAGTATCTTGCCGGATAAGTTTCAAATTCGAGCCCATTAACATTCCTCGCGAGGAACCTACGTGCCAATAAATAAGGCCCAAGGCAGATCGGTTGCTCCACCTCTCCTCCTTCCAAACCAAACCACCATCTTCTCCTCCCGCTTCGAGAAGCAGAGGAATATCCCCAGCGCAGCGCCTCCTCGTGGCATTCCATCTCTCCTCCGCTCGCCTCGCCCCCCTCTCCACCTCAGCAATGGAGACGCTCAGCCACGAGACATTGCGCCTCATCCACGAGCTCCTCCCATCCCCCGTCGATTGGCGCCACATGGCCCAGGTCTGCCACTCCTGGCGCGTCGCCGTCGCTCCGCAGCCGGAGATCAGGCCGCTCCTGGACCGCGCGCGAGGTGGCGCCGCGCGCTACTTCGGCGCCTACGACGGTGGCAGGGTCTTCCTCGCCTTCGGCAACGCCATCGACTACGCGATCCTCGGCCTCCGCAACGCCCAGCGATTGCTCCCCCCCCCCCCCCCCCCGACGCGGCCATCGCCGTGGTGGCCGCAACCCTCTCTTCGCCGCCGCCGGACGACGAACGCGGCGTCTGCCTTATGGACGTTCCACGTATTCATGCATTCTGGCGCATGGCCATGGGAGTCATCGATCGCTTGAAGAAGCCGGCGTCGAAAATGACTAGAGAGCAAGTTCAGGATATCGTTAGTTTCCTCTACAGGCTTGTGAGGAGGCTTATGATCTTACTCTGGAAGAGGGAGGACGACGAATTCGGGGAGAGGAAGGACTCGGCGGCGGATCCGGTTGCCGGCGGCACGGGAGGCGCGGTGGCCGGCGCCTTTCCCTGGAGTTTGATTGTGGCCGTAGCGACGACTGTACTCGGCATCGCCTGTGCCTGTGCGGCTGCTTACTACCACTACAGGCGGCGTCGCCCAGTGTCTCGTCCTCGTCAGGCGCAGCCGCCGCAGTACGTGGTGTCGACCCGTGCCCCCCCGACGCAGGCGCCACCACCTGGGCTCCTCCAGCTCCTCGACGACATCCCGGAGGCTGCTGCTGTGATCGGTACGCAATCCCGTCTCCCTCTCCAACACCTCCTGAATCCTGATTTTGTGGTTGCTGAGTTTGGATCGAATTGGTGTCTGTTCGCCACGAATCGGTTATGTGTTTTCGAGATTTGTTCGCCGTGTCTATTCGCCGGGATTTGTTCGCCGTGATTTGCTGTTTGAATTTCCCTTTCAATTCGTAGGTAGTTCAGATGGATTCCATTTGTTTGGAATTTGTTCAGACTTTGATTGTTAACCAGCGCATATTCATGCAGCAGCTGAGCCACCGGATACAGGCAGCAGACGCCGCCCTGGACGCGCACGCACCCCCGCCCGCCGCCGGCGATAACCTCCCGCCTCCAGCTCTCGTACAGCCCCCGGTTGCCGGTTTCCTTGCTGGCGCAGCTCCTCCGCCTCAGCAACAGCAACCATGATCGGTATCTCGCTCAAAGTTCACAGGCCCTTGGGACACTCGTCCGGATCATCTATTAGCATAGTTGTAAAACATGCTGATTCATTGTGATGTGATGTCGCGGTGCAGGAAGTGCGATTTTTGCTACTGGAAGTTGTCCCTGCTATGTTTTTCGTTTGAAACGCTCTGTGTTTTTTGTTTCTGCTTATGTCATCCGCCGTTCCGGATTGGTGGTGTTCTCGGTGATTTTTTTTTTGGATTAAACTGCTGAATTGTTCGACCTCAGCGATCGAGCTGAGTGAGATCGGTCGCGTCTTTGCATTTTGTGCGGGTTGCACTGACCAGCCGCGCCCAAGCACTGCACAGTCATGTCGCAACGCGATCTCTGCGTCGAATTCGCCCGCCATTACAAATCCCGGTGTTGCCCACAGCTCGCTGGATGAAATGGCATTTTGATGTCAAAGGCTAAAACTGTCGTTTCCATGAAGTCATTCAGTCGACGTGCCGTGTCCACGGCAGTCTCCTTCCGCACTCTCTCGCCACGAACCAGTTACCGTGTGCTCTGCTATATATGTGTTCCGCCCCCATCTCCGTTTACACGCACCATGCATTCATGCGCAGAGTACCACGGCGAGTGGCACTCTATGTACACTTGGTGGTACCCATGGCGACCGGAGCCAGAGCAACGATCCCCGCGCGCGCTGCAGTGGGCGTGACCGGTGCGCGTCGAGGGGTTATCGTTCAGGGACGAGGTGAAGCGAGAGCAGGGGATCCAGCCGGTGTCGGCATGCAGGCGCAGCTTCCGCAGCGAGCAGGGGCTTCGTTAAGGTTTTTGAGCGCGGACGCTTTGCTTTTTCTTTTTGCAACCGTGCAATCGGGAAAATAATTTGGTGTAGAGTGTAGACTCGGTGCAAACCCTGTCCTCTGCAGACCCGCGCTAGATTATTGACGCATGGATATATAACGTATCGATCGGACGGGGCGCCGCGCTCCGCTCGGCTCCCGTGCGGCTGGCGGGCTCTGGAGGATCGTGATTTTGAAATTTGATTTTCAGACGAGTACAGGTACAGCACACGGGACGGGCACAACGACACGCAGCACGCACAGGCTAGCAGCTACTACTTCGGTCGCCGCGTGCACACCCGTCTCATCTACAAGAAACAAGAGCTCGAGCTTCCCTCGCCAGCGCGTCGCCACGACGACGCGGACGGTGCCCGCGAGCCGCAGGAGGCCAATGAATGTGGATTCGGAGGCGTCCATCCTCCGTCGGTCGCGGCGGTGACGGGATCGAGCCGCGCGGGCCAAGATCGAGCCTCTAGAGCCAACAGCCGCACGCGCACAGATCGATCGCTCGGAATAAGTTCACTTTGACTCTCTTAAAAGTGACCTAAATCTAATCTATAATCCTAAACCACAAAACCGGATATCTCGAACCCCCGAACTATTCAAACCAGTGTAATTTGACTCCCTAGACGGTTTTGGAGAGCGGTTTGCTGACGTGGCGCCTACGTGGCGGTATTGACCGGGTCTTCATCACACGTGGCGTTTGACGGGGCGCTTACGTAGCATTAGAATTAAAAATTATAGAAGGGACCCATTTGTCATTCACTGACGCGTTGCTAGCCTTCGTCTACGACCCACCCACCCACGGCGCTGCTGCCCTCGAGGACGTCCTCGCCCCGCTACCCGGCGCCGACCTACGCACCGACAAGAGGCCGCCCGAATGCGTCGTCGACGGCGAGTTCCGCCGCGCCGGTGCTGTCCTGTAGGCGCCGCCGCCGGAGCTGGTGACTCGTTTCGTCCCCATGCCGCCACCACCGCCACCAATGCGGCAGCAGCATCGACGGGAGCTGCCTGACGCAGTTTTCGTGCTGGGAGCCGGAGCGGCGGAGGCGAAGAAGGGCGGCGCGACGAGCAGCGGCAACAACGAGCGCCACCAACACCACCACAACCAGGCCATGCTGAGCGCCGCGGCGAGAGAGCGGCGGAGCTGTCACGCCTCATCCCCGCACCGCCAGAATGAACAGCACCGCCGACCGCCCGACACGTCCGGCTCCTCCCAAACCCTCGCTTATCCCATAGCCGAAGATGCCGCGGTAGCCGCCATGGTCGCGGTCTCTCTCTCCGACGACCTAGAGCCCGCCATCGCCCGCAAACGCATCTTATCCATCCCTTCCCTCCCCCATGGGTGAATATGCCGTTGCGGCTGCATGGCCACGGCCTCCCTCTCCGACGATCTGGAGCCCGCCACCATCCGCACCTGCATCCAGCGAGCACGTCATTATGGGCGCGTGGGTCAAGACCGAGTGGGAGCAGGGGAAGGGCTCCTTCGCCTTCCTCGAGCTCAAGAAGGGCGGCGCCGTGTTCGTGCGGGGAGCCGGAGCGGCGGAGGCGAAGAAGGATGGCGCGGCGGGCGGATCGACGGCCGCCACCACCGCCATGGCGTGCAAGCCGGCCGTGTGCTCCGCCTCCGCCCTCGCACCGCTGCGCCACCGCTACCCCTTGTCTGTGCGGCTCGCCGGGATCCCCGCCGTCGCGACCACATCGCCCTGCTCTTCGCGGTGAGCCGCGCCGCCTACCTCCTCCCCCACTCGCCGCCCAACTCCCTTGCCGCCGTCGGCCTGCTCCCGCCGTCCTTCACCGCTTCCTTTGCCACCGCCGCTACGGGCTTGCTTGCTGCCACGCGCCACCGCCCGAAGGGGAAGAAGAAGGGGAGAGAAAGAGAGAGAAGGGAGAGAGGGAGGAGGAAGAAGGAAGGAGACAGGGGACTGACTCGTGGGCCCCACATGTTAGTGGCCCACATTTCTTTTTGTGTGAATGACTAATGGGCCCCACGTATATTTTTTAATTCTAATGTCACGTCAATGCCACGTGTAAAGAAGACCCGGTCAATACCGCCACGTAGGTGTCACGTCAGCAAAACCGCTCTCTAAAATCGCCTAGGGAGTCAAATTGCACCGATTTCAATAGTTCATGGGTCGAGATATCCGGTTTTGTGGTTTAGGGTCATGGATTAGATTCGAGTTACTTTTAAAGGAGTCAAAGTGAACTTATTCCCGATCGCTCTCGCTCGGCTGAGCCTGGAGCCCTGGAGCCCATCGGAGCACCCCGTCGGCCCGTCCGATTGATACGTTATCCACATGTCGATAAATCCGTGGTGGAGCAGCAGAGGACATGTGATTTGGCTGCGCGCGCGGTCTCCACCAAATTCTTTTCCGGTGCAATCGCACTCGCACGGTCGCACCCAAGTTGCGACTTGGAGACGTTGGATAATAGAAGTGAATTTTAAGTCTCTGCTTTCTGTACTCCTATTCATCTGAAAAGGAAATGCGAATGTTGGCTAACGATAGTACGATCGAGGCCACGATAACAAATGACATGCCATCCTCCGTCCAAGCAACATGGGCGGAGCTACCATGATTCTCGGGTATTCCCGGGAATACCCAACTTTTTTATCGAAAAACAAGTATATTTCTAATATATACATATGTACACATATTAGTGCACCTAAATCCTCAATTATTCGATCCAAACATAGCCCTATACACATGTACATATATTAGTGCACCTAAATCCTCAATTCTTCGATCCAAACACAGCCCAACCGGCCTATATGACCCATCAGACATCAGTTGATCCACTTAGCCACCACTCTTCCAGACGGCCCCCTCTCGCTCTCCCTCCATGACCCATCCCTCCCTGGCTCGGCTCCCTCGCGCCGCTCCCCATTTCCAAACCCTAGGCGGCGGCGCGGCGAGGCGGCAACTGGCGGCGAGAACTGGACCGCGCTACCACGGAGGGGGAGGCTATTGCCGCGGCGGGTAGCGGGTGGCGCCCGCCACTCCGCCAAGCTCAGGCAGTCAGGCCGGTTGGGTGGCCGGCAGCCGCGAGGGGTAGAAGCGGCCAACGGCTCAACGCTTAGACGGGAATACCCAACTTTAAAATCCTGGCTCCGCCACTGGCAAGCAAACCACGCACGAACAAACTCAGTGCACATGTAGTCATGTCGTGAACAATTGACGACTCTCTGGCTGCATGCAAACACACGCAACGCCTCAAAGAAGAGAGGTGACGACTTGTATTCCTACTGAACTCTCGAACAAACAATTTTAACGTAAAACATGTTCGGTCCAACTTGGTTACTTCCGATAAATTAATCACGTCTGAATCACGGCACGCACGTATTAATTTCACTTCGGTCACGCACGTACTCAATGAAGTTGACGCGCGCAACGAATTTACACTGTGATCAAGGATTCGTCGTTGCTCAACTGCTGTTTAGAGGATTACCAAAAAGATTTAAATTTAAATCCCTTCTCCGTACTCCAATAATAATAATAATAATAATAATAATAATAATAATAATAATAATAATAATAATAATAATAATAATAATAATAATAATAATAATAATTGCCTATGATGAGTTTGCTAATTTATACTGGTTCAGTTTCTTGGGAGAGCTTATAGGTTTAGGATGTGTATTGATATGAATGAGTGTGCGTACATACGTATATATAGGTTTAGGAGTATGTTCCAAGGGGAAAAAAGAGTCCAGTTTAGATATTCAAATCCTTTCCCTTCCCTACAAAAATTCAAATTCAAACACTCAATGAGATTTTAACTTTGATTCCTATTCATTTTGTTTAATCCAAATCCAAATCCGTTCAGATCGATCTTTTCCCAAAATTCCCACTCGAAAATACAAAAAGATACTGTGCTGAACAGGCTGTCTTCTCTTAGGGCAGTCCCAACCCATAGTGTCCATAAGCAGTGTCTATGGTGCCATATCAATAAGACATCACAATAGAAACTACACTCTACAACCCATGGTTTCTTAAAGTGTACCATTAATAAATATATCATCTCTCTTCTACCAATCGTATTTAATCTTCATCTATTATGAAAACACTATCTCTCCCAATGTAAAACTTGATAGTGTCTAGTGCATAGGTTCTCGTGTTGAAGCTGTCTTGTATGAGACCCAGTTTCTTCCTCTCTTCACTCTCTCTCTTAATTAATATAGTGCCACATAAGCTAAAAGTCCTACGTGGCAATGTAGTTAATA